CCCTATGCTATTTAAATTATTTCAGAACCAAAAAAAAAAAAAAAAAAATGAAAGAAAGAAGGAAACCATGCAGTAAGGTCTTTTGGGCCAACTGACTGTGCCATGGACAAGATGGTAACCTCTGTGACCTGCATGTACACTCCAGATGAGTTCCTGGAACTAGAAAGTCTGAAGTAACTGGAAAACCACAAAAGGAGAAGAAATGACCAACCCTTGTGGTGCCTAATTAACTTTGAGACATTCTTCTATTGTTCCTTATTCCCACCTCAATTGATAAGGCAACTGGACTTTGTAACTGACCTTAGTCAACCTTGTGCCCCCAGACCCTATGACCCCCTTCCAGCTTGCAAAAACTGCCCTGAACTGTAACTTCTGTAAGTTTCCACTGCCTACCCCAAATCTATAAAACCAACTGCTAACCCACCACCTGCTGCTGAATCTCTTTTCAGACTCAGCCGGCCCACACCTGGGTGAGCAGCCATGTTGCTCACACAAATCCTGTTTGGGAGGTCTCTTCATTCAGAGTGTGCATTTAACATTTGGTGCCGAAACCCAGGATGAGGGAACTCCTATGGGAGACCAAACCCCTTGTCCCTGTTATCTTTGTGCTCCCTCCGTGAAGAGACCTACCTACAACCTAGGCTCATTAGACCAGCCTGCATATCCACTCACTATCCTCAGATCAGGTAAGTGGTTTGCCTCCACTCTTCTTTAGCCCTTCTCTCTGGCTGTCAATCTTCTTCTCCTTTCAGTTTCACTTTCCTCTCCCTTTCAGCCGAGACAAGAATGGCAGGACTTTCCATGAGGTTCATGACTGGAAAAACTCCTATGTAGGTCACGGAACTGGGAAGACAGTCTTTCCTCTGTGACTGATCATTGCAGAGATGCCTGCTCTGGTCACTCACTCACACTTGTAGGTGATGGATCAACATGGGGGATGCCCCCTTTGACCGAATCACCCCTGGTACAGACCAAGGTTTTAGTCTGGGACACCTGCTAAGCTGCTTGTTTGCACACTCACTTTCCTTGTCTCCAATGCTCTTCTTAAACTGTGGGCAATCTCCCGCCCTCCATTCATCCCTCTTCTCCCTTAGCCTGCATTCTGAAAAATCTCAAACCCCTCCAGCTCTCACCTGACCTAAAACCTAAGCATCTTATTTTCTTCTGCAATACCTCTTGGCCCCAATGTAAATTGACAATGGCTCTAAATTGCCAGAAAACGATACCTTCGATTTTTCTATCCTGCAGGATCTAGACAACTTTTGCCATAAAATGGGCAAATGGTCTGAAATTCCCTATGTCCAGGCATTTTTTTTACACTCAAATCCCTCCCTAATCTCTGCTCTCAAGGGCAGCCCATGCCAAATTTTCCTTCTCTCCCTTCCACCCACCCCTCCTGCCTCTGCCAGAGACCCAGAATCATCCTTGTCCATTGACCCTTCTGACCTTTCTTCTCCCCACTTGTCCAAACCAGACCCCAATCCAGGCCCTAACCTTCCCCCAGAGCCTCCCTCCTCTTCCTCTGCCCACAACCCACCTCCTTATGCCCTTCCTGTCTCCTCCCCACCTCATACCTAGTCTGGCTTACAGTTTAGTCCCTCGGCTAACTCCTCCACCCCTGTCCAACAACTTCTGCTTCAAGAGGTGGCTGGAACCAAAGTCATAGTTAGGGTGCACGTTCCTTTCTCTTTATCCAACTTTTCCCAAATTGGCCATCGGCTAGGCTCCTTTTCATCAGATCCTCTGATACTTAATCCAGTCCTATAATCTCACCTGAAGTGACTTAAATGTCATCCTTACTTCTACTCTCACCCCTGAAGCCCTGACATTAAAAAGCTACAGAAATTAGAATCTGGCCCTCAAACCTCACAACAGGAATTAATCAACCTCACCTTCAAGACGTTCAATAACAGGAAAGAAGCTGCCTGGCGGCAGCGCATCTCAGAACTACAAATGCTTGCCTCTGCTGTAAGACAAACCCCAGCCATACCACTAGCTCACAAAGACTTCAAAGTGCCCAGACTGCCGCGTCCAGCTTCCCCTCCTGGACCTTGCTTCAAGTGTTGAAAACCTGGCCACTAGGGCAAGAAATGCCCCAGCCTGGGATTCCTCCTAAGCCCTGTCCCATCTATGTGGAGCCCCCAATGGAAGTTGGACTGTCCAACTCATGTCACTGCTCCTTGGCTTGGTGGCTAAAGACTAATGCTGCCTAAACACCTCAGAAGCCCCCTTGACCATCACGTACACTGAGCTTTGGGTAACTCTTATGGTGGAGGGTAAGTCCATCCCCTTAATCACCTTGGGGCCACTCACCCCACGCTGCCTTCTTTTCAAGGACCTGTCTCCTTGGCCTCCATAACTGTAATGGGAATTGACGGCAAGGCCTCCAGGCCTCTCAAAACTCAAGTCTGGTGTCAATTAGGCCAGCACTCCTTTCTACATTCTCTCCTAATCATCCCCACTTGTCCAGTTCCCCTGTTAGGCCAAATATCCTAGCAAAATTTTCTGCCTCCTTAACTATTCCTGGGCTACAGCCACATCTCATTGCCGCCCTCCTCCCAGAACCTGTACTTCCCTCAATAGGTCCCCTTATGTCCCCCTACCTTAACCCTAGAGTGTGGGACACCACCTCCCCATCCCTTGCTACCAGTCACTCACTCCTCATCATCCCCTTAAAACCTAACCACCCTTATCCCGTCCAGCACCAGTATCCCATTCCACAATAGGCTTTAAAAGGCCTAAGGCCTAAAGCCTGTTATTACCCATCTACTACAACATGGCCTTTTAATTCCTACAAACTCTCCTTACACTTCCCCTATCCTATCTGTCCAAAAACCAGACAAATTCTACAGACTAGTCAAAGACCTTCACTTCATCAGTCAGATTATACTTCCCATCCACTCGGTTGTACCAAACCCCTATACCCTCCTATCTTCCACATTCCCTTCCACAACTCACTACTCTGTTCTTGATATCAAAAATGCTTTTTTCTAAAGCCCAAATCTCTTCCCCATCTGTTACCTATCTAGATATAATCCTTCACCAGCATACACGCTCTCCCTGCCAACCTTATCCAGTTATTTTCCCAAACCCCAAACCCACCCACTAAACAACAGCTTCTCTCCTTCCTAGGCATTGTAGGATACTTTCGTCTCTGAATACCAGGTTTTGACCCTCTAACCAAACCACTTTATGAACGTACAGAAGGAAACTTAGCTGACACCATAGACCAAAAATCCTTCCCCCATTCTTCCTTCCATTCTCTAAAAAGACATTAGAGACTGCTCCTACTTTAGCACTCCCAACTCCTCTCAATCCTTCTCGCTCTACACAGCAGAAATAAAAGGCTGTACCATCGGAATTCTTATTCAGGAGCCAGGCCCACAGCCTGTAGCCTTTTTATCCAGACAACTTAACCTCACAGTCCTGGGCTGGCCCTCAGGCCTACGCACAGCAGCAGCTGCCGCCATGATACTCTTAGAATTCCTCAAAATCGCAGGCTATGCCCCACTTACCCTCCATAGCTCTCACAACCTCCAAAGTTTAGTTTCCTCTTCACACTTTACACACATACTTTCCACCCTTCACCTCCTCCAACTCTATTCACTATTCATTGAAACCCCCACAGTAACCATTGCTCTCGGTCCTGACTTCAACCCAGCCTCTCACTTAATACCTAACACAAATCCTGAACCCCCCATGACTGTATCTCCCTAATCCATATAGCATCCTCCTCATTTCCCCATATTTCTCTTTTTCCTATTCCAGACCCAGACCACACATGGTTTACTGATAGCAGTTCCTCCAAGCCCAGTCAGTTGGTACTGGCCAAAGCTGGGTATGCTTTTTTATCCCACTTGTCTGGTATCGAGGCTGCCACACTCCTCCCCTCCACCACTTCTCAGCAAGCTGAACTGATTGCCTTAACCCATGCTCTTACTCTTGCCAGAGGACTACATGTTAATATCCATACTGACTCTAAATATGCCTTCCACATCCTGCAACACCATGCTGCCATCTGGCAGAAAGAGATTTTCTTACCATACAGGGGTCTTTTATTATCATTGCCCCCTTAATAAAGGCCCTCCTTAAGGCCGCTGTTCTCCCAGCCAAGGCTGGAGTTATGCACTGCAGAGGACACAAAAAACCTGTCAGATTCTATTGCCCAAGGAAATGTCTTAGGTGACAAAACAGCCAAAGAAGCAGTGGACACCCCAGCATCTCCCACACAAGGCCAGTATTTTTCCTTCTTATCTATTTCCCCTACCTATTCTTCCTCCAAAAACTCACTTTACCAGTCGCTTTCTACACAAGGCAAATGGTTCTTACACTATGGGAAATTCCTCCTCCTGGCCTCATAAGCTCACTCTATCCTCTCATCCTTTCATAACCATTTCCATGTAGAACACAAGTCCCTGGCTCATCTTTTAAAACCCCTTATTTCTTTTCCACCATTGAAGTCCATCCTCAAAACAACCATATCTCAGTGTTCTGTCACTCTACTACTCCTCAGGGCTTTCTGAGGCACTGCCCACCCCCTGCCTTTTTGCTACACATCAGGCCTGCAAATTTTCCCCTACACAAGATCAGCGAATAGACTTCAAATTTTGCCTAGGTAGGCATTTACACTGGCTCTCCATCCTTGGCTGCCCTCCCCTTGTTCATCAGACTCCCCTCCAGACTCCTCTTCCTGCCTGCTTATACCTAGCCTTGATAATAAAAGTGAATGATTACCTCTCCTTCCACACAATTGCCTTATCAAACCCCACTACAGCCTTTAACAGCTGCAGCCCTTGCTGGTTCCCTTGGCATTTGGGTCCAATGCCCCAGCCCCTTCAACACACTTTCTCACCTTTTCAGTTTATACTTCCAGTTTAGTGTAAGCCAAGGGATTTTTCTTTTTTTTTTCTTACTAAGTTTTATTGTATGCTGCTGCCAAGTGTATATAAAACAATTACCCTTGTGAAATAGAAATTCATGAAAATTCAGAGAGGTAGATGTTAAGGACTGACAGAAATAGAAGTTTGTATATTATGGCACAAGTGTTACAGGGATAAGCTTTTGTACAGGCTTCAAATGGAGCTCTCTTGAATATTCCCTGGATCATAAGAAGTGGTTTGGGAAACCTTTGAAAGATTCATTTTACTACAAAAAGGAACAGACTTTCTGGGGTCTGAACGGATTTGTACTTGAAGATACTCCAGTCAGCAGAGGATCATGTTGAGCATTCTGCAGACAGAATTGTTTCAAGTCTGCAGCTGCCTGGGAAACTTTTATGCGGTTGAGTCTGGCCTCCAACCGGAGCTGTTGAACCACTTTCTTCATAGCGGTGACGCTGGAGGAGCCAGACATGGTGTACTGGAGGGCCGGGCCGATTCCGGGCTTTTCTTTTTTTTTAATTGTACTTTGGGCTCTGGGGTACATGTGCACATCCTGCATCCTGCAGGATTGTTGCATAGGTACATACATGCCATGGTGATTTGCAGTGTCCATCCCTCCCTGCCCTGTCACCTACATCAGGCATTTCTCCCGGTGTTATTCATCCCCATCCTCCCCGCCCCCTGATGTCCCTCCCCTCCCCTTCCCTCCACCCCCTGCAACCTAGCCCAGTGAATGTTGTTCCCTTCCCTGTGCCCAAGTGTTCTAATTGTTCATCACTTGCCTATGAGTGAAAATGTGTGGTGTTTGGCTTTCTATTCTTGTGTCAGTTTGCTGAGAATGATGGTTTCTAGATTCATCCATGTCTCTACAGAGGACATGAACTAGTCATTTTTATGGCTTCATAGTATTCCATAGTGTATATGTGCCACATTTTCTTTATCCAGTCTATTATTGATGGGCATTTGGGTTGGTTCCAGGTCTTTGCTATCGTAAACAGCGCCATTTTTTCCTCTGTGGTTCTTCTTCTTACATTTGCCTTCCTACCAACTGGACAGGCACTTGTACCCTAGTTTTCCTTACTCTCAAAATTCAGTTTGCCAATGGAGGTGAAACTCTCCCTGGTCCTGACATGACACAGTCAGAGCATTCCATTGATCCCCTTACTTGTAGGGTTAGGAATTACTACTGCACTCGGCACAGGCATAGCAGGCCTTACCACTTCAACTGTTACCTTCTGTAGCCTCTCTAATGATTCCTCTGCTAGCATTGCAGAATTAACTCCATCACTACCCCTTCTTCTAGTAAATTCCCTAGCTGCAGCTGTCCTGCAAAACCACAGAGCTCTTGATTTACTGACTGCTGAAAAAGCAGGTCTTTGCCTATTCCTAAATGAAGAATGTTGTTTTTATGTAAACCAGTCTGGCCTCGCATATGATGCCATCAATAAATTAAAAGACAGAGCCCAAACACTCGCTAATCAGGCAAATGGTTATTCGGGACCTGGCTGGACTGGCTGGACACTATCTAACTGGGACTCATGGCTTCTTCCAATCCTTAGTCCTCTGTTATCTATCTTTCTCCTTCCCTTATTTGGACCCTGTGTTTTCTGATTAATCTCTCAATTCCTACAAAATCATATCCAAGGGATAACCAATCAGTCACTATGACAAATGCTCCTTCTAGCAACCCCACAGTATCACTCCTTGCCCCGAGATCTCCCAGCAGTCTAAATTCTTTCCCATTTTTAGGTTTCCCCGCCACCCCCAATCTCTCTCAAAGAAGCCCTGAGAAACATCACCCCTTTGTGCTGACCTTCCTAGTATTTCACTGCTCTCCACTCTTCATTTCTTTTTCCTTTATATTACTGATATTAAGACACAGGAATGTAAGGTCTTTTAGGCTGATGGTGCCATGGATGGCATGGTAACCTCTGTAACCTGCATATACACTCCAGATGAGTTCCTGGAACTAGAAAGTCTGAAGTAACTGGAAAACCACAAAGGAGAAGATATGACCAACCCCTGTAGCACCTAATTAACTTTGAGACATTCTTCCACTGTTCCTTATTCCTGCCTCAACTGATAAGGCAACTGGACTTTATAACTGACCTTGGTCAACCTTGTGACTCCAGACCCTATGACCCTCCTCCCAGCTTACAAAAACCATCCTGAACTATAACTTCTGTAACTTTCCACTGCCTACCCCAAACCCATAAAACCAACTCCTATCCCACTGCCCTCTGCTGATTCTCTTCTCAGACTCAGCATGCCTGACCCAGGTGAATAAACAGCCATGTTGCTCACACAGAGCCTGTTTAGTTCGGGGGGGGGTCTCTTCATTCAGAGCACACATTTAACACATCCCAGTCAAAAAAAATATTTTTTTCTAGTGTTTAGGTAACACATAGATAACATTTTCTATTTTAAAATTTAGCAATATAATGGATAAATAAAATGTGGTACAAGCACACCATGGAATATCATTCAGCCTTATAAAAGAAGGAAATTCTCACACATGCCACAACAAGGATAAGGATTGAAAACATGATGGTAAGTAAAATAAGCCAGACACCAAAGGACAAACACTGTATGATTACACTTGTTTGAGGTACTCAGAGTAGTCAAATTCACAGAAATATAAAGTAGAATATTGGTTGATGGGATAAGGAGAGGGAGAGTGGGAACTTATGAATGGGTATGAAGTTTCAGTTTGGGAAGCTGAGAAGTTCTGGAGACAAATGGTGCTGATGGTTGCAAATCAATATGAATGATTAGTGCCATTGAATGGTACACTTAAAAACAGCTAAAATAGTCGATTTTGTTATGTATATACCACCACAATACAAAAATTCAACTATATAGGTCAGGCACGGTGGCTCACGCTTGTAATCCAAGCACTTTGGGAGGCCGAGGTGGGCAGATCACCTGAGGTCAAGAGTTCAAGACCACCTGGTCAATATGGCAAAACCCCGTCTCTATTAAAACACAAAAAATTATCCAGGCATGGAGGTGTGTGCCTGTAATCCCAGCTACTTGGGAGGCTGAGGCAAGATAATTGCTTGAATCCAGGAGGCAGAGGTTGTAGTGAGCTGAGATCGTGCCACTGCACTCCAGCCTGGGCAACAGAGCAGGACTCTGTCTCAAAAAAAAAAAAAATTCAGCTGTATAGAAGTACATGGTTTCAAAGTGAAAATTCACCATCTTCCTCCTTTCACTCACCCATTTTATTCCTCTCCAGTAATAATTCATATAGATATATCAAATTTATTTAATTAGGCTTACTGAGCATATTAAGGAATGTCTAGATGTTTGTATTGACAAACAATGCTGTATAAACATCCTAAAAATATAACTTTGTGTAATATTGTTCCCAGACCAAACTGAGGGTCAGGCTGCTATTTCTCATGGCCCAATAATGAGATGCAGATGAACCTGGGGAGGATGAGAGTTTTTATTTCTGTAACTGGTCATAGGGAGAGGCCCTGGAAATTATCACCAGACCAACTCAAAATTAGAAAGTTTTCTAGAGCTTACACACCTTCTAAGCTATATGTCTATCTGTAAGTGTGCATTCACCTAAAGGACATAAGTGATTAACTTCTTTTAATTTATAACTAAAGTCTGAGTCCTGAAGACCTTCCTCTGGGCCTCAGTAAATTTACTTAATCTAAATGGGTCTAGGTGCTGCGGTGATTACCCTTATCTGTCTCCTGCTAAATCATGGAGGTTTGGGAAGTTCCCTCAGACTTACAATAAACTTGTTTATGGAAGCCTGGGGAGTGTCTTCAGACCCCCATACAATTATTTAATCCTAAATGGGTTCTGTTAAGAATTCCTTCGTTATGGCTGGGCACAGTGGCTCATGCCTGTAATGCCAGCACTTTGGGAGGCCGAGGTGGGTGGATCAGCTGAGGTCAGGTGTTCGAGACCAGCCTGACCAATATGGTGAAACCTTCTCTCTACTAAAAATACAAAAATTAGCTGGGTATGGTGGCTGGCGCTTGGGGAGGCTGAGAGAGGAGACTTGAACCGGGAGGTGGAGGTAGCAGTGAGCCGAGATTGCGCCATTGCACTCTAGCCTGGGCAGAAAAAGAAAAAAAGAATTCCGTTGTTATTTTATCATGCTTTAAGGACACAGGAAAGCCCTAGGCAAAACTTTTGGTGGGCTTTTGTTACAACCCAGCCTTTGTGTAAGGGCACTGGCTTTAATATTTAACGTAAGCACTCAGTCAGTACGGAAACAGTTGTTATGGAGGCCTGTGTTAGTGAGACCTGGCCTGCCACAATATGTATATTCTCAATATACTGCGAAGTCAAAAGCTATGTGCATTTTATTTAGTAGGTTAGGTTTAAGTTATTTTTTATTTTTTGAGATGGAGTCTCACTCTGTTGCCAGGCTCGAGTGTAGTGGCGCGATCTCAGCTCACTGCAACCTCCACTTCCCGGGTTCAAGCAATTCTCCTGCCTCAGCCTCCCAAGTAGCTGGGACTGCAGGTGGGTGCCACCATGCCTGGCTAATTTTTTTATTTTTGGTAGAGACGGGGTTTCACCATGTTGGCCAGGATGGTCTTGATTTCTCGACCTCGCGATCCACCCACCTCGGCTTCCCAAAGTGCTGGGATTACAGGCATGAGCCACTGCGCCTGGTCAGGTTTACATTGTTAATTCATGTAGATCAAAATGCCAGAAGTTCAAGATATTACACAGTGAAAAGCCCCCTCCCATCCTTTCCCCTAGGAACCTGTTTGCCCTCCTCAAAAGTGACCAGCTATCCTTTTAAATATATATTCTAGTCATGTGCAAGGGAAACTGCTAAAAATAAAATGATACTGGTTTATGCACTTTAAATTCGATAGCTATTGCCAAATGGCTCTCCAAAGGGATTGTGCCTATTATACACCATCCATCAGCAATATTTGAGAGTGCCTGTTTCTGCATTCCCTTGTCAATACAACATATGAGCAAACTTTACTTCTTTGCTAATCTGATTGATAAAACATGGTTTCTCATTTAATTTGTAATATTATGAGTAAAACCGATGTTTACTTAAGCTGGGTTACTTTGCCTGCCTCCCTCTTCAGCCTCTTTTCCACAACTCTTTCACAGCTACCCTTCAGCTAGGCTGAACAGGAGATACTGGTTCTTTCACTCCTTTCTATCTCTGCTTTGGTCATGTTCTCTGGGAACTCCTGCTGAGCCTGATCCAGCAAGTCGGATGCAGTGTCCTTCCTTCCTCTGTGCTTCCTCTCATCACAGCATTGGTCATGTTGCTTTCTGTCTATTTTTGTTTTCCTGTCTGCCACCTCTAGAAGGTGAGCACTGGAACTAGATCTTTTGTCTCTCTTAGCTATTACTTATCACTGTTATCTTCAGTAAATATGAAATGAATGGATGAATGGACAGCTGACAGTTTTATTTTTTATTTTTTATTTTTATTTTTTTTTTAATTTTTTATTGGATTATAGGTTTTGGGG